GAGATAGTGTTAAAATATGTTTATTTTAGAATAGAAATATAATTTCGATAAAATCGATTTATTATAAGAAAAATAATACCATTTATTATTGAATTTCGAAAAACGTGTGAATTATAATTTATCTTAAATTCCGTAACAGTGTTGCCACAACACCTGCTTATTTCCTTGAATGTAGGCGTGCCTGCCTCGCGTATGCTAATACGAGAGAAGGAGACAACTATGATATCGCATTGTAATAGAACGAGACAACAAGGCTAACGCCAATCGTGAGTCTAAATTAGTTCAGGAATGCTTCTGAGCCAATCATCTAGCTATAAATATTAGTTTAAATTGCGGTCGTTTCAAATTCAAATAATTTAAATGTTGCTGGGTATTCCACGTATAAAATCAATCAATTTTATTGACTATTTCACAATTCATATCATCCAAATATTAAAAATTTATAGTACCTATATTATAGAAAGTAAAATATTTAAATTATACTTAATTTTTTAATTCTCCATGATGAGGCACTGCCTCACCTGCCTCCCCTGACGGGCCACCACTGATAGCTTTTGAACAAAAACACTTTGCACTTGGTTGAAAGAAGAAACATTCAAGAGAATTTGTATTTGTTTTCACGAAAACTATACTTCTTCCACTAAGAACTTTTTTTTATGCTAAAATATTGTTTCTTGTCGCTAATAATTTTTCATCAAGAGAGTTGACTACTTTAGTTGAAGGGTACCATTTTTCAGTGTAAAAAAACATTTATATAGGATATCTATAGGAACCTTTGTTTAAATAAAATGGGACATTCTAAACATAATAAGCATAATAAGGTCAACAAGTAGAACTACATGAGAACAAAGGGCCAGATAAGTTTATATTGTCCAAAATTATAATCCGGGTCATTTAAGATAGATAGATTAGTAGAGTAATTGATGTCCAATAATGATATATTATTAATTAATTATTAATACTTACAATGGCCATAACTACTATGATTAATTAGCAAATAAAATCAAGAACATGAAACAGTATCCTTTGTGTTGAGCTCAATCAAATAAAAATTGTCAAAATGGCAAAACAACTGTTGGCCAGTGTATTACCTAAAATTACAAAGAAAATTAAATTTGCAAAGGTAATTTTTAGGTGTTTATCAATATTTTAGGATTTTCTCTTTCGCTTCCGGGACGGTTTTTCTTTAATTTGGCCATAATTAGTTTCTTTGTCTCTTCCTTTGATTGAGACAAGTCCATCAAAAGAGGCGTCTAATGAAGGCGTCTAATAATATTCCCAACTTTCATAATCTCCCCAATTTTAATCCAAGTACGGCAATTAAGAATAAAGCGACCAGATTGGCCGAACAGTCGGCAATTAACATTAAGTGATATCTTTATTGACTCGTTTAAACGTTCATTGTCGCCAAACACAAAAAAGGTTCCAGACAAAAAGAACATAAAAAATACACGATGGGACCAAAATATTTGTTCACTATTTTTAACTACAACAACCTCAGAAATGATGACAAAATGGTTTTAATTTTATAAAATTTTTCCATTTGTCAACATAAGTTTTTAACAACTACATTACTTTTTTTAATATTGTTAAAGTCATGCTTAAAATACATTCATTTTTGGTCTTACGGTAAATAAAACCACTCTGGGTATTAAAATTGTTATGTAAGTTAAAATACGCGAAATGAATTACTTGTCAGGTTTATCTCGCGAATTATAAATATGCAGTCTGCAATTTAACGTTCTGTATAAATAAAACAACCCAATATTAAAGAGTGACAAAACGTCTATTCACATTAAAAAAAATATTTGTTAATTTTAACCAAATTTTATGTTAATCCAGGTCCACATAACTTTATGTTAAGTTTACAACCAACTGTAATCTGTTAAATAATTAAAAATTTAACCATAATTCTTATAATTTTCAAAAAAAACCTATTTTTACAAACCTTTTGGTAGATTTTGTTGGAAATTGGAAACTTGGAAATGAAAAGAATTTTGAAAAATGTTTTATTAATCAATTTCCTAAACAAAAAAATTAACACATGTGTATGCATACCTTCATAAATGAAATCAAAAATAACTTATATAATATTACATAATAATATAACTTATAAAGAAATTTGGTACAATCTGTGGGTACAATAAATTTATCACTATTATTATTATTATTATTACTACTACACTTACTGATGTTTTTCGTAACTTTAATCCACTTCACTGTATACCCTAATTTCAGTTTTAAAACCAGTGATGGCATCTTTTTTCGGATACTTCGCAGAATGGTTAAATAGGTATAAGGAATCCGAATAACAATAATACCAGATTTCGGGTTATATATTATAAACACTCTTGATTTTGTTACACTGTTTAAAATATCTGTAGTGTAAAAAGTAATCTTAAAATGGTGTCAAAATCCAACACCAAGTGGTGTTGAAAATGTGTACCGATCGCGGCAAAGGCGGTGTGGATCACGTGATGTTCTTAAATCTCGCCTCTGTTGACTTACATGAAGAATATATAAACTCAGGTAGTCCTTTGCTTTGGTGTGACACTACAAGTTGTTCGATACTAAAGAGACCTTAAATAGGTGGAAACAGCTGTCAATACTTGAAGTATTTTAAGTTAGTGGAACGCACTAAAAACATTATCTATAGCGAGTTGAAGGTTCCATTTTCTGGGTTAATACCACTGGTAATATACTAGTAATGCGTCAAGGAACTTCCTGTTTCCTTTTTTTTTCCTTTTTTCTGTGTAGTATGTCTTAATTTGACCACAAACACATAATATTTAACACTGAAAAGGAGTTCAATGTATTTTAATACTGTGTGAAAGTTAAATTAACACCATTTTAGTATTTGAATTTACACTGGACCAACGAACCATATTTAACACCATTTTGGTTTGTATCGATATAGACCATGTATGGTATTAATTTGGTGTTAAAATGGTCATGAAATTTTGAACAGTGCACTAACAATAGGCATCAAAAAGTTCAATTGACTTCAGCGTATGCAACTTATGTTTTTGCTTACTTTTTTCTAATTCGTAACATGTTCGTAACGTGTTTGTTACGAACACGTTACGAATTAGAAAAAAGTAAGCAGAAACATAAGTTGTTACTAACAACTGTCTAGACTCTAGAGTGTTTATAATCAGTGATGGGCAACCCCAGTAGCACAAAATATTGGTCCTACACTGTTTAAAATATCTGTGGTGTAAAAAGTAATCTTAAAATGGTGTCAAAATCCAACACCAAGTGGTGTTAATATAACACCATGATTTATGGTTGAAAATGTGTACCGATCGCGGCAAAGGCGGTGTGGATCACGTGATGTTCTTAAATCTCGCCTCTGTTGACTTACATGAAGAATATATAAACTCAGGTAGTCCTTTGCTTTGGTGTGACACTACAAGTTGTTCGATACTAAAGAGACCTTAAATATGTGGAAACAGCTGTCAATACTTGTATTTTAAGTTAGTGGAACGCACTAAAAAACATTATCTTCAGCCAGTTGAAGGTTCCATTTTCTGGAATAATACCACTGGTAATATACTAGTAATGCGTCAAGGAACTTCCTGTTTCCTTTTTTTTCCTTTTTTCTGTGTAGTATGATTTAATTTGACCACAAACACATAATATTTAACACTGAAAAGGAGTTCAATTTACACCAGGTAAAATTTATTTTAATACTATGTGAAAGTTAAATTAACACCATTTTAGTATTTGAATTTACACCGGACCAACGAACCATATTTAACACCATTTTGGTTTGTATCGATATAGACCATTTATGGTGTTAATTTGGTGTTAAAATGGTCATGAAATTTTGAACAGTGTATATGGGGCGCGTCTATGCCCAATATTATATCTGGGGCCAATATTACTAAATGTGAAAATTATTTTTTCTACTCCTATTACGGAATTTGACCGTTCTATTATCACTTTTATCTATGGAATGACATATATTCCGTAAAGTGTTACAGAATGAAATATTCTATCATCCTATGACAGAATGAACACTCGTGGCGACATCTCTGTTTTTAATATCTAACAAATTTTAGACCGATCCAACCTTACTTTCTTCCAATAAAATGACTTTTGTATGGTATTTTTTGGAAACGTAGAAAAAGTATAGTCTGAAACACGTTTGGAATTGCCTTCGGCTCGTGTGACAAACTCTTCACTCGAGCGGAATATGCTGTATTCCAAACTTGTTACAGAATATACTATTATCAACCCAATACAAAAATACAAAAAGTTAAAAAGTTTCTCAACGCCAATATTTGACAGGTGTATATGAACATTCTGTGGGTAAAAGGCATAAGGGGATAAGTAAAAAAAATCAATTTTTCAATAGAGCCTTTAACGTGTTTGCATTAATTCAGGAAATATATTTATGTTTAGCGGGTATACGCTTTTGTTAGCACACGACATGGGCTAACAAAAAGGTTTACCCGCTAACCATAAATATGTTTCCTGAATTAATGCGAATACCTTTAAGACTACTGAAAAATTGCTTTTTTTGACTTATTCCCTTATGCCTTTTACCCACAGCATTGTACTAAACTTTTGATTTTGATGTTGTAGTGCAGTTAACTAGATTTAACTGATAGAATGTTACAGTGCCCATAAAATATTATCTTCTCTTTTACTGTGAAAAACTGCTTCTATATCGATTGTTAGTCTATTTTCAAGGGATAAATTTTGATTTACACAGAAAAATTTGAGATTTTTACGCAAATATTTGTGTAAGTGTGGTATACAACTCGTTTATAAACTTTTTTAGATACTTATTTAATTAAGCACTTGCTCTAAAATAGCGTTTATCAAACTTGATACATAATATACCATTTAATAATGATATACCTTAAAATAATAAACTAAAATCTAAACAATTTAAATCTATAAGAATGTGTAGCAGTAACAGTAGCCTTATTTGACTAAAACTCTCACCGGCATATTCAAAGAATAATAATGAAAGCTCTCTTTTGTTGCAGCCAAGCTGGACGGCGTGAAAACGTACATGCGCATGCGCCGCGTACCAAATCACTTGCAAGTCAAAGTGATCAAGTGGTTCGACTACCTGTGGCTCACGCAAAAGTGCTCGGACGAAGAGAAGGCCGTCTCCTGTCTTCCGGACAAGCTCAAGGCCGAAATAGCCATCAACGTTCACCTGGACACGCTGAAACGGGTCGAGATCTTCCAGAACACCGAGGCGGGCTTTCTTTGCGAGCTCGTGCTGCGCCTCAGGCCCGTTTTGTTCTCTCCTGGGGACTATATATGTAGAAAAGGTAAACGATAAGCATATATGAGGAACCTAGAAGCCAATGGATATAAGTGACATTTAAAAAAAAATGTAGGTATGTACAGAAAAAGGTAGTAAATGGTACATTTTACTTGGTATCTAAGGAATAAAACTGAATTATAAGCTTAGACATCTTGAAAAACAAAGTCATAAAGCAACAAACAATTTTGACTTCAAATTACAAGTGTTTTTTTACTTTAAACATGATTATCTCAAATCTAAACAAAATGTACTTATACCCCTTGGCTTTTAGGGTCCTCATATGTTCATCGTCTACAGCAAATGCCATGAATGTTTTATTGGAATCCCAATATTTTTACGCAGTAAAAAAATATTTGTTAATTTTAACCAAATATTAACTTGTTTGTATGTAAATCCAGGTCCACATAACCTATATCAATAATTCAACCATAATTCTTGTCATTTTCAAAAAGGACCTTATTTTTACAAACCTTGTTGTTGACCCAGTAGCAAAAGTATTTGTTGGAAATTGGAACTTGAATGAAAAGAATTTTTACAAGAAATGTTGCTTTATTGGTGATACGTGAGTCTCACTCAAAAACACAATCATAGGCCAACTATTAATTAATAAAGCAATACTATCTTTGTTATTTAGCTAACCCTCACAATTAAAGTTTACAATGCTTAAAACAATATTTGAGTCTAGTTGCTATTTTAGGTAGGTACTTACTCTTGAACCTCCTCAATTCTCCTATACTGGGTGTATCTGAGAATAGGCGCAACCCTGTAACTTTTTTATTTATAAAGATAGACAAATTTAGCATGGTTAATTAGGATATAAAATGCCACTTATAAGAGTATAAAATCAATTTTTTGAACTTCCGTTTTCGCCGGAAATGATATCCACTTTCGATTTTTAAATGGAACGCCCTATATATTTTTACATATTTAGAATCCTGAGAAAAATCTGAGTCGGACAGCATCCTCAAATTGACCTTTCGACGTTTCATCATCAGAAATCGCATCATCATAAATATCAATCTAGAGTGCTTTGAACTATTTGAGAAAAACGAATTTTGACAAGTTTAGACTGCTGGGAATAGCTGAATAACAACTTTCTAAGGCAAGTTCCATTTTTTAAGGATTGTGTGAATCCGTTAGAAGAAAATAAGATAGTTTAAAGCACTCTAGATTGATCTTTATGATGATTCATTTTCTGATGACGAAACGTCAAAAGGTCAATTTAAGGATGCTGACTCAGAATTTCCTTAGGATTCCAAATATGTAAAAATGTATAGGGTATTCCATTCAAAAATCGAAAGTTGGTATCATTTCCGGTGAAACCGAAAGTTTAAAAAATTTATTTTATAAGTACTCTTATAAGTGGCATTTTATATCCTAATTAACATGCAAAATTTCATGTGTCTATCTTTATAAATAAAAAAAGAATGGTAAAAAAGTAAGAAAAAACCTTGTTTGCAATAAAAATTATGTTTTTTTCTTACCTTTTAAGGTTTTTCTCTGATTTTTTTTTAAGTGGTGGGGGCTCAGGTTAAAAATTTATTTAAAATTCTGAATCTTTGAGAGTACCTTCAGAAGGGTAAAAAATTAAGAAAAAACCTTTTAAGTAATTTTTAATTATAATTAAAGTTATTAATAATAATTATTATAATTTTAATTAATTATAATTTCATATTATTATAAAATCATAAAAATTTATTAAAACATTAAAATATTTACTGTTCCACATAAAAATCCCACTAAAATTTAAATAAGGAATATAGTCGAATAATTAAGGCTATGTTTCTCAATTTAATGTTAATTTGGTCTTATTTTTTTATTACTTTTATTACCAAAATAAAACATGCAATATTTCTTCGTTACATAAGGTACAAATATATTTTACATTTAGAGTTGGGTTGGGTTGGGTTAGGTTGAGGATATCCAGAAAATTTAAATTATTTTAAGGATAAGATTTTCAGTTATATTATATTAGGTAAATCCAATTAGTAAACGCTCACCTCACACTGCTGGCATTAAAGTGATCACGGAAAATGGCATAATAAGACTCCCCTAAGGTAAAATAATTAAAGTAATGTTGCATCATACGTAGACACAAGTTTAAAATATTCAAATCTGAGGTGGGTAATAAAGGTCCTTAGCGGAAAGCACGACAAACTTTCGTGGTTGATGAACAAAAAGATGCAAGTATAAAGGAAAAGTGTGTCGAAACAGTTAAGGTGAGCAAGTTTGATAAAATCCCCGCTCCCCTTACCGCCGCCGCCGACGCTGTCTCCCATGTGTCGGCTCCTGTAGTTTTCACCTCTAATTGGGTTACTTTAAATAACTTTCGACTTTTCAAGACAACTTATTTTTAATGGCGGCCTTTCCACAAACTTTCCGAATATTTAATTACAAGGCACATAAATCTATTTAGCGGCTGTTCTTCTTTTTATTTTATTTCACTTTTAAAGTGTCAAGATTTACACTTTATGGTCCTTTCATTTTTACTTAATTAATGTTGGTATGGAATATATAAACTAAAGGTTAAAGTTTAGGTACTGAAATCTTTTATTAAAACATTAATTGATGTTGAAAAACACATTAAAGCTTGAAAACCCACTTACTTATTTATAACTTATGCTAAAAGAACCAACTGACGTGTTACAGCATTTTAAAACTTTAATTTTCATTAACCTGACTGTTAACACCCAGACAAAAGCTGTTTAAATATTAAAACCTATCCCAGCAAATTGTTAAAAATATATAGTCTATAGCATTTTTGTTACCATACACGGAAAAAAGCTATTCTATATTAAAGATTAATCATCTCAGTCCAAGTATACGTTCATCTCACCATTCCGCAAGTATAGATACTTTTTATTTAAAGATTGATTTATTCTTATTTGTAATTTAAATTAATACTTATTTGAAGAATATAGGGAGTTGAATGCAAGAACTATCCTATACTTATTTGGATATAATTTCAATGTTAGGTGCATGGGTAAACTTATTCTTATTTTAAGAAAAAACTATCATATTATTTTAAATGCAAGCACCCTCAAATCAAATATTATAAATATAAGAATAAGCATTTTTTGAAACAAATGTTATAATTATTGGCGATACAATATTTACTTTTGGATTAAATATAAGTTATCTTTATGTAAGTTAAGCAATAATTGTTTCAAATATTGTCTATTCTTTTTTAACTTTTGCTTGACTTTAAATAAAGGTTAGAATATAATGACCATGTTTATTTCAAAAGAGTGGATTATGCTATCTTTTTTTTAAGACTAATAGAGAAAAATAGATAGGATAATCCACACTTTACCTTTTAAAATAAATATGGTCATTATATCCTCGAGCAAAAGTTAAAAAAGAATAAACAATATTTAAAACAATTATTGCTTAACTTAACCTGAAAAAAATTATATTGGTCTATAGCATTGTCTTTATTACATAACTTTTTACAATGTTTCAAATACCTATCTACCTATATATATATACTATAATGATGAAACTTCAGACACGTTGATTTTGTTTGCGGGACGGACATTTTTTGGCTATATTGGCCTGTTTAACCAAAATTTTTATTCGTACCTATAATCTAGAGGTAAAATATATATGTTATTTATATTCGGCCAACCTAATATCACTATCTAAAATTTAATACATGTATTATGCATAATACTACACACATAAATATAATAATTATTACCTACCCATACCTTTGGTGTAAATTCCACTAATTTAGCAGCTATTTCATAATTCCAAACCAAATATTATCTAACACAAGAAACAATCTTCGGACACTTTGAGAGTGGGGAATATTTTTAACAACAGGCCAGTCGTACCAATATTTACTAATCTTAGAATAAATATAATTACCTATATTTATATCCAGTATAGTTTTATATCTTTAAAACCAGAATAAAGGTATTCTTAAATTTTTAGAAATCATTTTTTTCCGTGCACATGTACAGGGTTGCCAAATTCTGTCAAAAAAATAAAGGACATTTTGTGACAATTTACCTTAATTACAAAAATGACACAATCAACAATACTTATGTAACGACAAATTGATAATTTGTATTGTTTTACTGTATTATTTTGTATTTGTACAGTGGCCGACACGGAATTTTGAACGGCTTTCGTCCAGTTAATATTAAAATCTTAACTTCCTTTATGGCCAACTAACCTTACTTCACTAGTCTTGTCGTTTTGACACCGAAAGCAAAAATGGGCAATATTGTTTCTTTGCTATTTACAAATTTATACAACCAAATTATAACGTTCAAAATTCTATGTCCGCCACTGTATTAATGTACATTAGGGTTGCCAGATTCTTTTAAAAAAAATAAAGGACATTTTGTGACAATTTACCTTAATTACAAAAATGACTCAATCAACAATACTTGGGTAACGTCAAATTCACAATTTGCATTGTTTTACTGTATTATTTTTGTAATTAAGGTAAATTCTCGCAAAATGTACTTTATTCAGCAATTTTTCTCGGCAAACTATAAAATGTGTTGATCCCCTCCGGTTGCACAGTGCATTTACCATTCCGGTAACAAACGAAAAATCTGGAATGATTCGTGTTTTGTGGCCTTAATTTACGATACTTCGGATACAACTCAATTCTGTTCGCTTACGAAGTTATGATAAAAACTCGCTTCTTTTTCGTTTTTGTTTTGCGTAGTGTTACGATAATAACTGATTCATTCTCTTATATATCGTTAATTGTTAGTGTTCGTAATTCTTCCCCTCGCATTGCTCCATTAAATTTAAAGAAAAAATTAATGCCACTTTCATAAATAGATATGATTCATTCAAAGGATTTGATATCTATGATTCAAAGCGTCATTTAGAAGCCTTATAAATTGTTCAATTGACAACACTTTTGACTTTTTAGGTTCATATCCTTCCTTCTGTTTTTTTTTAAATGTAATTAACTACTTGTATTTTGAAATGTCACTGCCTTCATATATTTGCAACGTACTCTGTATTTTTTAAAAGCGTTAGCTTCTTACCTTTCCCAAAAAAACCGCTAGCATAACATTTTCACTGACACCTTGTACCCTTTGATTGTTTCTTCATTGACAGAATTGTTCAAAAGTTTTATCATATTTTTCTTCTGACTTAGATGTAAGCAGATTTTGAGTCTCGCGGCTTCCAAAATACCCTAATTTTCTTAAAAAACATCATCTTCCGACAAAATTCTGTTTTTATTTAATTTGTTGTCATGGGTTGTTACGGTTTACTTTTCATAAGCAACTATTTTAAAGATTTTAAAAAAACAATTTTTGTTAAAATATTCTTAAGTTTTCCACTTTTTCCATTAAGGATGCAAAAAAATAGCGTGTTTAACTCGTAAGAAAAGTTTGTTTTCACTCAATGGAAAACTCTCACTTTTCTTTTACTTGTAGAACAATCTAGGTACTATTTTCATAACTAATGTTTCACTACTTATTTTTTTCTTTTGACCTTTGACCTTTGACGGGCCCCATTCTTTTTGAATTTGTACAAATTTACTCTTTTCTTTCCTAACATAAATTATTAATTACACAAGACTTACCCTATTTCACACTGCTAACTACACAAACAACCTTGTTTAAATTAAATCATGAATTAAACCTATACTGTGGAAGGCATATACCTGTTTAGCAAACATACCACCGCCTTATACAAAATCCGACACAACAACATGAGGTTTTCTAATTATGCAGAACACAACACAACATACACGATATTACCGTAGGCAATTTACGACTCGCTAATTAACGGTGACGGGTTTGAAGCTTCAAAGAAATAATCTTGCTTGAACTAGAATATTCAAACTTTGCTTTTTTAATAATTTTGTTTTAAAATTGATTACCGTAAACACGGGTGGCTGTAGCTCACTTTCAAACTTAAGCTTAAATTTTTTGTGGTTTTAACAATCATAAACATTAAATATTGTATACCAAAATTTGAGTCTTGAGTTACTCTTTCATAATAACTATGTTATAATATTGTAACGTTTTTTACTGTTCGTAGTGTGAATTAAAAACACGCACTGGTTAATTAACGAACTAAACTATTTATTTAATAACTTAACTACACTTAAAACACTATAAAACTAACTAAACACTTAACTACTAATTATTTATATATCACTATTGTTCAAGAGTCTATTTATTTGCACTTATATTTATTTATTTCGCCGCGAGTACCAAATCTTAACTGACTGCTCTGTGTTGCTCCGTTTCTTATATATCCAGCGCCCAAGTATTCTGGAACATTCCAGCGAGCTCCACACTCTCGATTATTTGAGCGCTGAGTCACCGGCGATGACTCACCGGCAATGACTAATCGGCGATAAGTCATCACTCCGATATCCAGGGCGGTACTCGCTACAATATTACGTAGGGCTGAGTTTAAAAAAAAATAATAAAAACTGGGTGTGCAAAGTTACCCCCTGGTTGCGGGTAACTTTGTCTCACATTTATTTTTCGGATAAAATTAACTCAGTATTTTAATTTATTTTTATTAGACATATTATGTTAGCAGCGACATATATTTATTGCACGGGATTACCGATTAAAAAAAATAAAAAACCGATCTGTAGTTAACCAAGGATCATCATTCCAAAGGATTGCGCATAATATAGAAATTTTAACGAGTGTATTTATAAGAGTTCTGCACTAATGCAATATAAACAATTTTAAAGTGTAATTAATCCCATTTATTTCTTTAAAATACTGATTTTCCTGTAATATAAACTCAAAACAATCGCTCAATAGACCAACAAATTATAAATGTTAATTTTATCGAGCGCGAAAAGATTTTTTAAAAAAGGGTTAAAGTCACCCGCGGGGTGCAAAGCCACCCGTGTTTACGGTACCTAAAGTTTAGTTGTTAATTTGTTTTAAACATAATTGTTATTCTAGTGGCAATTTTGGCGGATGCGCCGGGATTAATAAAAAATATGCACCTGTAATATTAATTTAAAAATGGTAAAAAGAGAAAAAAATAACAGTAGGATGAAACCCATTGGAAAAGGAGGGGAATAGGTATATTAAAAATTAAAGGAAAAATAAATTACGGGCGATCTGAGTTCGGGAAGTGGTAGGGGGGGTTTTAAGGGTAAAAAATGGTTTATCTCGATTTCCGGCAAAACTACAAGTCCTATGGAAAAAAGTTAAATGTCAAAGTTGTAGGTAATAAAAAGATCTACAACTTTTGTATTTACAATTTTTTCACATAACCTCAAAATTTATGTGAAAAATTCAAAAAACCAAGTTTTTGGTTTTTTATTTTTCTTTTTCAAAAAAAATTTTTTTCCACGAAATTTGGTGAAAACTTACCTTTTTATGTCCCAAATACACTGTAATTTATTTGATTTGAAATATTTATTATTTCGCCTTATTTTGACTTAATATCATAAAAGCACCCTAATTTTCAATCGAAAATTCTCGCGTCAAAATATAAGCTTTTTTCAAAAAGTCGGTGTGCTTTTTGTTCGATGAACTCTCTACTTTCTAAAGGTGTAAAAAAATATACATTACTATGGTAAATGTTCTCAGAAAATACAAAAAATATTATAATGAATAACGTAATCAGAATGAAGTATCTAAATTCAATAGTATGATTTACATGTATTTATATATTTTATGAGATTTTCTGACATAAATGTTATTAGAATTTAATAAATAAACTTTTTAACTAAAAAAAAATGCAACAATCACATTTTTTTGATGAAATTGTACATAATGATTAAAATAAATTTTCGAATTCGAGTTTTTTTCGTTATTCATTATAATATTTTTTGCATTTTCTGAGAACATTTACAATAGTAATGTATATTTTTTTTACACCATCAGAAAGTAGAGATTCAAACGAACAAAAAGCACACCGACTTTTTGAAAAAAGCTGATATTTTGACGCGAGAATTTTCGATTGAAAATTAGGGTGCTTTTTTGATATTAAGTCAAAATAAGGCGAAATAATAAATATTTCAAATCAAATAAATTACAGTGTATTTGGGACATAAAAAGGTAAGTTTCACCAAATTTCGTGGAAAAAAAATTTTTTTTGAAAAAAATAAAAAACCAAAAACTTGGTTTTTTGAATTTTTCACATAAATTTTGAGGTTATGTAAAAAAATTGTAATTACAAAAGTTGTAGATCCTTTTATTACCTACAACTTTGCCATTTAACTTTTTTCCATAGGACTTGTAGTTTTGCCGGAAATCGAGATAAACCATTTTTTACCCTTAAACCCCCCCCTCCCACTTCCCGAAGTCAGATCGCCCGTAATTTATTTTTCCTTTCATTTTTATTATATTCTTCTCCTTTTCCAATGGGTTTCATCGTACTGTTATTTTTTTTTGTTTCAAAAATTATCGACCCTGGTCTATTTACCGAAATTGCGCGTTGGAAACAAATATTTTAAAACACCCTGAAATCTATATTTGTAAACTAAAACAAAATGTAATTTCTATGTTTCAGGGGAAGTGGGTAAGGAAATGTACATAGTGAACCGCGGTCGACTGCAAGTGGTGGCCGACAATGGAAAAACAGTGCTGGCAACTTTGAAGGCCGGCAGCTATTTTGGAGAGATATCGATATTAAATATGGGCACGGCAGGTAAACACCTTGGTAAATATCAGCAGGCAGGCCCAAAAGACACTAAACCGTGTTTGGGAGGTTTTTTAATCTACTTCAAACCTCTGCATGAGACAATTTTTTATCTTCTGTATTCTGCATGACCTCTGTCATGAATTGTTCCAACTTCTTATATCGGCCCAGAGATCTGCCAAAAGTTAAAATTTTATTTTATTTTACTATATAATAAATATATACAGTAACAGTACAGTACATGAAAATTGTACATCAAAATGTGCGTAATTGAAAAAAAAATCAACCTGTTCAAAAATGAAAAAACTAATTTTTCAATGAATTTGTCGGTTACATATATATAATAGGTATTAATTAAATTTAAAAGCTTTATAAGAAAATATAATTTTTATTTTTTGGTAGATCTCCTTTTAATGGCTGGGCTATACTGTTATATTCTATTGTTTTGTGCTAATAATGAATCAATTTTAACGTTTATTTAACTGGGCAGCTACTTTCTTTTGAGAGTAATTTCCCTTTATTTAATAACAATAATTAAAATTGATTCTATTGGTCCTGGACACCCCTGCCTGGCTTTTATTTGTCAACCCTATGCAAAAATTATCCCTCTTAAACATTCGCGCTATAGCATTTATCAATTTATTTATTATAAATAATTATTTTATTATGTTAATTTTAAACATATGCAAAATATTAGTAAACAATAAATTTAAATTCAATTAATTATTCTAACACAAATTTTCGAATTAACTTGTTATCGTAGGAATTAAAATTAAAAATAATTTAAAAAACCAGCCGAAGCATGAACAATAAATTAATTTAAATAAATTAATAAATTATAATTATTAACAATGAGTTTAATAAAATGTTTGGCATCCGCTAAAATTGTACACGTTTTTGTAGTTTTGATTGAAAATTAATAATTGAAAATTATATTTTATGTTAAACATTATTTTAATTTTCCCTTCCTATTTTATTAATTAATGCATGTTCTATATTAAATTTATTATACAGTGTGTTGACTTCGAAATGGGTGTAATATACCAAAAAATATTAGTTTGTGTTTTTTCCTTTTAAAACTCTAATTTGTTAAATATTTGTTTAAGGTCCAAGACCAAGGCTGGAGAAAATAAAAGCCGTGATAATATTTTTTGGAATAATACACCTATCTTTGTCCATGCGTGAACACACTGTACATTTTAATTAAAACCTTTAATAAATAAAAATACCATAATAAAAAATTATTAAATTTAACAAATAAAAAAAATACAAAAAATATTTTATATTTTAAAAGCGTAAATAAAATGTACAGTAGGGTGGTCCTTATTTGTATATGAAATTTTTTGTTTTAAAATTCTGGGCGTCTCACTACCTTAAAAATTTTCTATAATAAGCTCTGTAAAATTTGAGCCCGATCAATAAACTCTAAGACTTGCCTCAAGGGCCTTTTTTTGGGAAAGATTTATTTTTATACTTTTAAAAAAAATACCATAGTTATAAAATTATAAAATTTATTAAACACAAAATATGGTAAGGCAAAACAAAAATTATATTATATAATATATAAAAAAGGTGGTAGTATTTTTTGATGGAAGACATCGTTGCAGCTGGTTGATGTAAGTGACAACATATTTTCTTTAAGTAGGTATAACTTGTTTTAAATTCTGGGAATCGTCCTCATTGCCCTCGTCTCCCTGGATTGCTTTTGCAAGCTCAATTTTCGTTTGGTAATGCTTTCGTCAAAAAGCGCCAAAGCAATCGACTCTGCTGTCAAATACCAAAGATGTCCGCAAAACTTTTTTATAGCTTTACTTTTATAAAAAAAACAAATCTTTATGAAAATTGCAATAGTCTTACAATGGTGCTTTTGCAGACATAGGGTAACAAAACCACGCTTTAATGCAAGGGCTGGTAAAAAAAATATAAATATCCTTAAGACCTAATTTCATGCAACGTTAGTTTAAACTGGCTTCTGAAGAGGAATATTTTAGAACAAAAAATAGCCTTTGCCATCCATCTGGCGTGATGGAAGGCTCCTGGAATTTGTCAATTGACCACCTAGAAATAATATCGCCAATTATAATAACTCCTTCTAATATTTTCATTCTTAAGAGTGCATTTGCGTGAGCAAAGTCAAATAGGGCATCCAACTTATCTGTAAATACAGTTTCTTTGGTATTCTGACCAATACTATTTCTGCTACAATTTGTTTGTGAATTTCGCCATTCATTATAAAGTGTTTCCAGTTTTGCAATACAGAGTTGAGGTTCTAAAATGGAAAATTTGGCTTTTTGCCAAAAAATAACATTTTCATCAACTGATAAACGTGCACTTTCCCTAGCTGTTAAATTTACACATCTAACGTTATAAAACAACACTTGCAACACTTGTCTGTTTGACGGTAACTTACTACCACTAATAAATCTAGGAAGTCTGCCTTGCTATTTAGTATAAATTAGTTATTAATTTACTCTTAAATAAACAACTAAAAAACCTGTGGTGATTTATAATACTTATACAATTAAAATTCAGAATACAAAAAATGTGGACCACCCTAATATACAGTATGTTGTTCTCTACATAAGGACAAAATTTGTTATTAATTTATCGAAAAAAGTTACTTAATATAAAAAGTTTTGCTGTAAAAAAACAATATTAGACTATTAAATTTAAAAGTAGCATTCAGGGTGATTCACCTGTTAACTAAGGAGCACTCTATCGAAAGCCATTAAAAGTATAAAGTATAAAATGGAGTCTAGTATTTACTTTGACTTTTTTATCAATTTCCTTGTCTCGTTTGCCAACTTTCTCATTTTAAACGAAACTACCATACAATTTTCACATTATTCTACAAAAAATAAGGTTTTCTATCTTATACCTAAAATAAATATTTACATATTACAAAAAAGTGAAAAAACCTTTTATTTTTTTATTTGTAATATCAGTAGGTTGCGTTGGATTGTCTTCGTATTTATAAAGTAATATCAATGTCAATGTCTCTGACAATTGTGTTACAATGGGTGATAATAATTAAGCTTCTTAAGATATTCTAAACATGTTTTATACATATGGCGAATTTAGGAAGAACAATAAGAACTTTAAATGAAAGGTGTCCCAATTTAACCCCACTTAGAAAGTGAGACAAGCGTTTTCGGTATTGTCCCATAAAGAAATTTTGAAGACAACTTCTGTCTTGCGACGTATCAAAATGTGTCGTGAACAACACTAGCGATACATTAAACAATTACCTAATATTTGTTTTATTTTTTATATTTGTTTATTTTTTCAATATAATTTTTGAACTTTGTGTGTGTGTGTCTACCATGATACCATAATGGAATCATGGTGTATTTTTTGCTGAGCTTTAAATTGATAATTCTTTTAACGTTGTTTAATACGAAATATAAACAATCCAACGCACAATATTGATATTACATATTAAAAGTTCCAATTGTTCTTTCTAAAACTTTTCTGCACTTGCCGTATGTGTAAAAAATGATTAGAGGTAGTGTAATTATTATCACCCATTGTAACACAAATGTCAGAGACGTTGACATTGACATTACTTCATAAATACTAAATAAAAGAAAATTCAATGCATACTACTGATATTACAAATAACAAACTACACTCTTAGAAAAGACCTGGTATTTGCAATGAAAATTTATTTCCCAGAACCAATTTTATTAGTGAAAATAGGCACAACAAAAAAATATGTTGTGGGAACCAATACAAATTTGTTTTTACAGTTTGTTGTCGGAACAGCCAATATTGGTAGCTCCAACCAACAAGTTTAAGTGCATCGAAATTAGTTTTTTTTTCATACAAATAATTGATATTTAATGCAATCACATTAGTCTGTCATTTTAGCAGTGTCTACACTCTTAGAAAAGACCTGGTATTTGCAATGAAAATTTAGTTCCCAGAACCAATTTTATTAGTGAAAATAGGCACAACAAAAAAATATGTTGTGGGAACCAATACAAATTTGTTTTTACAGTTTGTTGTCGGAACAGCCAATATTGGTAGCTCCAACCAACAAGTTTAAGTGCATCGAAATTAGTTTTTTTTTCATACAAATAATTGATATTTAATGCAATCACATTAGTCTGTGATTTTAGCAGCGTCTAAGTTGTAACAACTGCACTTTCTATTTATCGCAACAAACATTGTATCATGCAGGAATTTATTTTTTAATTGAAATTACATGAAAAAAGGTACATTTAAAGAATTTAATAGTTGATATAATATAAATTTGTTTTGTACTGTAACTAAGTTATATTTAATATTAAATGCTTGCGTTAGTAGCAACAACAAATTGGTATTATTCCACAGTACATACCTGCTTAGTAAATATAACACTTTTTGTGTAAATATTATAAAAAATATATATATAGAGAAAGAAAATTCATGCCCGTTCGTTTTGTAAATATTTATTATAAATTAAAAAATAACAATATAACTGAAAACACCAAATTTTGGTTTAAACATTATAACAAAAATTAATAATTACTCTAAGAAAACATTTATAAGTAATATACACAGATAGGTACATTAAGATGAAAGTTGACTATACTTCTTCAGTAAACCGTGATGTTTAACAACTTAACAATGATTCTTAGGTACAACGTAACATATTTGCATGATAACAGGGGTAAGCATTCGATAAATTTTGAGTGTGAGTGCCTCTAGCATAGGCCCTATATCAAAAATGCGACTTGAGCTGTAACAAAACAAAAAAATTCTCGAAATTCCGACGTGATGGAGACTTTTGGTGGGCACCATTGGATTCAGGAGGCCATTTTCAGTCGGAATGGCATTTTCACATTTATGTATTTTTTTTTTCGGGCCCCAAAACTACAATAGTGTAATTAAAGGAGTGCAATAATAATACCTAACCTTTAAAAACTGGAACCAATTCAGGTAAACCCCATGTTCCTAATAAATCTGCTACAACAGTCCGCTCATCCATATTATTTGTTCGAGATATCTATAAGTAACCAACACAT